AGGAGTTAGGGTACCTTTTTGTAACAATATGCTTTCGAACTAACCCATGCTTCAGCTAGGACTTTTAAGGGTTGTAACGTGGCCTGGTTCACGGTTTAAGAAACAAAGGATAAAGGCTTAAAATTTATTTGTACCCAACCCGTTCTTCGTGATGTTCTTAAGTCCTACACTCAAATAATTGTGCATTTAGATCCCAATTGAGTTCTGGAATCTTAGCCCTGATCTTCCGGTGATGGTTCGGATACTGAAAGTTTATTTGAGAAGGCAGTCATTTTTGTAACCTTTTCTTTTTGTTGAGGATTTGTAGCGACCTCTTTTTTTTGGTTTATTATCCCTACTTTTTTCCTGAACTATTTCTTTTGTGATTACAGTCAGCGGGATGCCCCAGTTTTTTTCTTAAGTATTATTCATAGGTTTTGACTTAGCGGGCCTTTCTTTTGAGAGATAATGACTGCCTGTTTTACGGGGAACCATCACCGTCTTTTGATTTGGAAGGATACCTCTGACACTACTCGTCATATACGAAGGGAAAGCTTGCGATTGAATGCACCGTTGAATTAACTGAGAAACTATCTTGCCCCAGGTTACGATTAAAGGTTTCAATTTGTGTGAAAAAGAAAACTCCTACTTCTTAGGCTCAAAGGGGTTGACTAGGGATTATCTTCCTTATAACTCCACTGTTTAGGATTTGAAACAACGCTTGTACATCGTCAGCAAGGTCTGTTCAAAAGCATATTGTAGAGATTATGGTATCATTTTCATCATCCTCCCTCTAAAGGCTTACAACTTTCAATCGAGAGTCGGATATCACAAAAAGGAGGTAAAAGCATAGTTTCGGTATAGTGAAAATGAATGGATTAATTCAAGACAAACATATGTAATGCATTAATAAAATAACAAAGTCTGACATAAATAAGTGTTTGAACAATCAAAAGAAAATTACAATTTGAGAATTCAAATGAACAAAAAGCCTCTCTATCTGGACTCGTCACTTCAGGTGGTGCGCCTTTGAGGGATAGCAGAAGAATTTAGTCTGACCGTCTTGTGTGAACTTCAACACTCCTTCGTCGTTCAAGTCTTGAATCTTATTTCTCAATGTCCAACAGCTATTAGTGTCATGTCCATGACTGTTGGAGTGGTACGCACACCTTGCATTTGGATTGTACATTGGAGAGGTGACGTTGGGATTCTGAGAAGGATCCTTCAACATAACCAGCTTAGCTTCTAACATGTGTTGCAATGCTTGAGCCAATGGCATGTTGATTTCGGTAAAGCGTATTTTAGATGTACTCCGCTTATATTGATTACTCCACTGTCGTTGTTGAACTAGCGCTGGATCAAAGATCCATACCGCCCCCACAGATTGGTTAAGATCGCCCTTATTACGATCCCTCTGGTCTTATATAGTACTAGGCTCCTTATTTCCAAGGTAGGGTCTTTTCTGAGTACTTGAAGATGCAGCCCCCTGAATGTCACTGCTCCTGAGTTTATTTTTAACATGCCCCCGCATGAACGTGTCACCCAATTCCCTATCTACCAAGAGAGATTGATCATTGATTAGGCCCCAAGCTCTAGCAGTTTTCCCCAGACTGTTGTATCTGTCTTGAAGAAGCTTGCTGATGAGAATCCTCAACTCTTCTTGTTCCCGAGCTAAACTTTGGATAAGGGCCATCTGGCTACTCATCTAGATTATGATCCTTCCCATTTCAGCCTGCAGTTGTTCCAACTAGCCATCCTTGTTGTTGTCAGGATGTTTCTTGGTCGAGTTCCCATTGAGGAGTTCTTTCAATTCTTCCTACCCCTTGGATAGGTTTAGGAACATTTCCTTGAATTGAGCATCTTGAGTTTGGAAATCTATGTCATTCTGTTTGAGAGCCATTTTCCTTGCTGAAATAAACAGCGAGAAAATGAGAACCATGTACTGGAAGACCTGTTATGTAATGACATGCATGCAATGTTTTCAAGGATCTCGCGGGGTAAACACAAGAAAAATGTTTTAATTTTGATTGCATCTTTGACGGAAGAACTTTTGTATCATTGAATATCCTTCTATGAAATCAAGCTCACCATGTCGAGTGGTTCATAGCCTCTGACTCAAGTTGTCGTGTTTTGGTCTTTCGACGGCATTGGCTAGAGGAAAATAAATCCCCTTACCCCTTTCTAGATGTATGGTTCATTATGACCTGCATCACATACCCTTGAGATCCTTGAAATGGTTAAGGCAACAGGGAATTATTCCTTCTCTATTTTACCTTCCGTACTTAAAAATTTATTTCATGAATCTTGGGCACAGGGGGAGACTATGAACAAGCATAAATGAATTTTGGGTGTAACAGATTCAAGGGGGGCTGGTTAGCTTAACTATGAATTTTTGTTTTTATGGTTATTACCCTATATGAATTGTTCAATCAAAATACATGGTTTTGTCATCATCAAAAAGGGAGATATGGTAAGAACACGATTTGGTTTTGCATTTGGCCTTGAGTTTTGATGATAACTTTACATGTCATCTTAGAGAAAAATTGAATACTTTAATGGTTTGTCTAGTCTGTAGCTTTTGCTAAACATGTTCTAACTCTGAAGAAAGGTGTGTGACGTCATCAGGTTTGAACTAAACACCATGGAAGAAAACATATGGTGTGTTACAAGTTCAAGTTAAGATTCTGGAGTACTTCTAGTGCAACAGTTCTAAAAGAACATTAGTACTAAAGCTTCTGATCATGACTTATTAAGGAAGCTTTGGAGGCCTTCTAAAGCTTTTCTTATGTGGTACAAGTTCTGAAGATTCTGAAAACGAGGTTCTGTTGAACAAGTTCTGAAGATTCTAATGATTTCTCTTCTGAAGACCAAGTGTTGAAGACTCTAAAGACGGGGTTATGTTAAACAAGTTCTGAAGACTCTAAAGACTTAGGTTCTAAAGACTCGAGATTTGATCTTTCTACAACAAGCTTCATCAACTCACATAAGAAGCCTCTTAAGACTAGAAGAAATATCAAATAAGTTACACTGTGACCTCTATCCTGATAGGTGGCGCAAAGACAATACTTAAGTACTATGTAGTCTACCACTACCTCACTACCGCTGGGGATATTACAACTGGATTTATGTATTCCTATTCTACTCTTCAACTGATTTTTTTATCTATAAAAGGAAGACTTTGAAGATTGGAACAACAACGATCATCACTATAAAACTATGCTAAAGCGCTGAAAAACTCTTTGGAGAAATTCTTTGTATAGTTTTATAAATAAGTAAGGAGCTTTTGTTTGTATCTTGCTATTAACACTTTTGTGTTATTTTCCTTAAACATTGTGTAATTTGCTTGTGTAGAAGAATTTTTGTATACACACAATTGTAATCAACGATTGTAGATAGTTCCTTGAGAAACTAGGAAATAGTAAGAAGTCTCAAGAAGACAGAGGTTGTGGTCATTATGGTTTGTAACAAGGTCGGTTAGACTTGTTGTAGTGTGTAACAAGGAAAGTTAGTCTTGTTACAATTTCTCTAATTAGTTTGGTTATAGTGGATTAAAGCCTTGTGGATAAGGAAAATCACCTTACGGGGTGGAATGAAGTAACTTAGTTAAGAATGAACCAGGATAAAAATAATTGTGTTCATTTATTTTTATTCACTTGTTAGCTTTGAGTTTGAGTTGCAAAAAGATTCATTTTGGTGCAACCCAATTCAAACCCCCTTTCTTGTGTTTCTCACACCTTCAGCTTCGAATTCGCCTAAGGAATTGGGGAGTTGTAGTTTTAATTAGTGAGTTGTACACCAAAGAATTGAATGAAATTGTCTTGTTAATTCCCTGTATAATTATAGAGTAATTAATATTCAAGTAATACACATTCTTTAACATGAAAAATTAGGGGATGGGAATAAAGATCGAATTGCTCTTTGTTGTCGAAACTTTAATCCATGTTATTCTCGTACTTATTTTTCGTACCATTCATTATTTAAACCTTCTTTGTTTATTTTAAATCGCATGATTATCATGGTCGAATTTGATATCCTTTTGGAGACAAATTTATTTTTATTACTTCGATCGTATTAATACACTTTCTAAGAAAGTCATCGGGTATCATAGACGTCATTTGGTTTCTTCTCACACAATTCCTTTTGTAAACTTTGTTGAATTTCACATAATTCAAAATCTAAAATCACCCATCCCGTCAAACCTTGTTACTTCAAGTTTCACATCAGAGTTAATCGTCTTCTAATACCAATTGTTAGAACAACAACTTGTATAAAAGATTAAATATAAACGAAAGTAAAAGACAATGGACACAAGTGATCTTTGTTAATGCAATTTGGCCAATGATGCCTACCTCTACCACAAATAGAGAAACTATAATTATTTTTATTTGTGTCTTATAAATTATTTTGGATTGTACACACACGTGCACACACTCATACATGCAGACAAGCACATACTCACGAGGATTTGTACCATCACTCTCTAATGTGTCTGTCCCGCCTCGATTTCTTCGCGGACTTTTGCAGACATAATCATTTACATGAATTTTTACAATTTTGGACTTAAAAGGTGCAGTATCCACAGGCTTTCCCCTCCCCGCTCGCCCTCACTTTTTTGTAGGACAGACCTAGATTTTAGGTTTGCATCCTCAACTACGACCGTCCCATCCCATTTTTTACAGGCTTTTGCAGGACGGGTCTAAACACAACAGACATGCCCGTTTGCCACCGCTAGTAGAGTTCAACAAACAATTACCTCTACCTATGATAATCTCAACCATATGAATATACTCAATCATCCATAATATTGTTAACAGTTCATAATTATTTCAATGATATGATACATACTCAACAAATAACTATATATAATCTCCAACATGATACAAATTATAGTGTATATATATAACTCAACAAAAATTTTACAACATTTTCTCAATCCTTTTCTATGTCATATTGATGCATATTGATGAATGAACACATAGTTTGTTGACAACAATAATACAGCTAAAATCAACTTAAATTAACTATCTAGGAATAAAATTACTGATAGACATTTCATTCAAAGAGAATAGAGACGAACTATTTGCAGATTGAGTTGAACTTGATTCTTGGGCATGAGATTTTGAAATAGTTCTACCATGGTGGAAAAATATAGGTTCTTGTGGAGTTGGTAATTCAATTGAATAATTACTAAGATAAGAAGCAACTGTCACTATTGAAGGTCTAGCATCTGGGTTATGTTGAACACATAATAGACCAATTTGAATACACTTGGTTACTTCAATTTTCGAATAATCCTCTTCAATATTTGGATCCAATATACTCAACGGTGTTTGATCCTTCCATTGTCTCCAAACCTGAAATAATATGTCAAATTAAAATCTTCAATTATTACCTTGGTTGCATGTGATGAATTCAGTCACAATATATGTAAAACATCGCGAAAATATTGCTCCATCTAGAGAGAGTACATACATTGAAATGAAAGATTGAAAGTATATATTGTTAGATCATTACACTCACATGATTCAATAGTCCATTAACCCCTTCAGCATCCTGGTATTGCGTAGATGAACTCGTATTCTTTCTTCCAGCAATAATCTCTAAAAGCATGACTCCAAAACTATAAATATCCGATTTTTCAGAATATTTTCCAAACATTGCATATTCCGGAGGCATATAACCGCTATAAAAAAAAAAGTAAATTCAATGTTATTTTTATATAAAATTTACCTTAATTGAAAAGAATTGAGAAAAATAGATAAAAGATGAATATGAACATTTAAAACTTACTATGTCCCAATAATTCTTTTTGTAGTTCTTTTATCTTGACTTATTTCAACAATTCGAGCCAAACCAAAATCAGAAATTTTAGGAATCATATTTTCATCTAATAAAATATTACTAGGTTTGAGATCGCGATGTATAACTTTAAGTCGAGAAAGTTCATGCATATAAAGAATTCCCCGAACAATTCCTCCAATTATATTGAAGCGTTCAACCCAAGTTAGCGACTTTTTGCATTGAGAATCTAAGAAATTGTAGATGAAACAAATTTAAGTTCATAAATAGAAAAATATAGTATATTTAATTCATGAATCTAAACAAAACCAAATCAAAGAGTTTTAGATGAAAAGTGTCTAACCAAATAAAAAGTAATCAAGACTCTTGTTGGGCACAAATTCATAAATAAGTATTTTCTCGTGTTCTTCAAGACAAAAACCAATAAATGTTACTAGATTTCTATGTTGAAGCTTAGCTATCAATAAAACTTCATTTTTGAACTCCTCAACACCTTGCTTAGAGTTTATTGAAAGTCTTTTTATAGCGACTTGTCGTCCATCCAAAAGAGTACCCTAAAAAATATATTTACAAAATAAGAATCTATTTATTTTTAAGCAATATTTTCAATATTTACTTCGCTTATATGTGACATTTAATTACATGTTTTTTTTTTAATTAAGATGAAGTGAAGATGAAAATGCATTTAAGTAAAATATATGCTCTATTTTTCAAATGCTGTTATAATGTCTTCTTTAATCTTTATTTTTTCAGTCATAATAGAAACAAGATATAATAAGTAATTAGACACTAAGGTTTTGTTAACTTATAATTTATAACTTATAAATTTATATGATAATAAAATATGTGTTATGATAACAGTTTTTTCATTATGAATTTATAATTTATTTTATTAATTTATAATTTATTTTCTACATACTATTTCAAATAGCGTTTTAGTTTATAACTTATAACTTATCGTATTTTCTTTTATTATTATCTTTATAAATTTTAATTATTTTAAATATATATTTAATCATTAATTAAGAAATATTTTTCTATATCATTTTACATTTATCAATTAGTTAAACCGTTAATTTTACAAAATACTTTAATTGATCTATCAATTATAAATTATAAACTATCAATTTTCTGTCTAAACTATCAACTACTTTATCACCCCATCATTTATTTTGTTAGAGAGCCTAAAAATTTATTTCGTTTTCTCACCTTGTAAACCTTTCCAAATCCACCTTTGCCGATGTAGTTATCTTTAGAAAAATTGTTACTTACTGCTTCAATCACCACCCAATCAAATCGCATGGGTTCTAAAGTGGCACTTTCTTCACCAACTAAATAAAATTTATAGGATTAATTGTTTAAAGTAATAAATTATTAAACTTGAAATGACTTTTTTCTGTTAAATAATACTCACAATTTTCTCGAAGAATGGTTCTACGACTTTTTCTTCCCTTTCTCTTTAGAACATAGTAGTAGCCAATAAGAAAGAGCACCACCAAAATAACGACAGGGACAACGATGGCGACAAGTCTCCATTTCTCTGCACAAAATAATGATAGGGATAATCATGAAGACAATGGAATAGTGGATAATTTTTTGTATGGTATGTTGATGAAAAATGATTGATGATTAAATTTTCAATCTCGGATGTTAGTTAAGCAACAGTTTCACCTTTATTTCGTGATGGAGGAGTCCCTGGTAATGGAGGAGTACCAGGCGGCTGAGCTTCACCAACCTGGTTGTAAAATTGGAACAATTCAAACCTGATATTGCAGCTAGGATATATTATTCTTCCTCCAATACTTCCCAAATATGACCATGGGATTGATTCACCGATTACATCTTTTAGACATGAAGAGCATTCGCCACTAGACAAATCTGGAGTACATTGTTCAAGTGTATACAAAGTTTGTACATCGTTCAATTTTAACGAGTTGGTCGTATATTTATCAGCACTATCTGCTGTATCATCCGCTTGTTGAGATAAGTGATTAGATAATATGTTAGTGAAGAGGTTTTGGTCCGAGATGGAGTATGTGGTGATATTAATATGGCGATACATAGGGCTAGTTTCCATGTTTGAGAAGAGACTCTGATAAGAATAGCGAACCAAGCAGTGGCTGTACCAAATTATACCCTCCTGAGATGAAAGACAGTTGGAGTATATTCGATCTGTTGCGTTTTTCACGCATTCACCGCAGAGGCTAGAGGGAAGGTCACCTCGACACATGAAGAGGCCGTACACCAGGTCTTCCACATTGGTTGTGTAAAATGTTCTGCCGCTTGTGGTACTGGAAGACAAATAAGAGAGAAGTGATTTGAAGTTTTTCTCAGTGATTGTACTGTTGCTACTTGAGCAGTTGTAGCCAAGATAAAATGGATCTTTTGAAAAATCTGCATCTTGTTTGGAGTCATTTGTTTCTGGAACAAGCCGATTTGTTGGGGAAGCATTACTAGATCTATAAAAAGGATATAGTTCGTACCTAACGTTACAGCTAGGAAATAGAACTCTCCCACCCTGCTTTCCATCACAACACCGCGGAAGATAATCAATACCAGCACTGAGACAGGTTCTGCAATCATTGGGCGACAAGCCTGGCGTGCACTGAGCTAGACAGTAAAGTGTCTGAAATTTCGAAACTTTTGCTTCATTTGTGGCATACATCTTGTTATTGTTTGCTGCTTTTTCTGCAGTTTGATTCATAGTCAAAGACAATAAAGGCATGAAGCTTTTCGGGGTTGAGACGTTGTTGGTGTTTATCATGGAAACACCAGGACTTGTATAAACAGTGGAAAAGAAAGAGTTGTTGGAGTATCGAACCATGCATTCGTTGTACCAAATCACCGCTCGTTTAGACAAAGAGCAGTCTGAGTCAGAGGATAGTTTTTGGGTTGCATTAACTATGCATTCGTGACAGAGCTGGGAGGGTACATCCCCCCTGCACATGAACAATCCATAAGCATCGTCAGAGTCGGAGGAGTTTATGGCAGTGCCTGTGGTGTTGTAGAATTCCGTGTTCTCATTTGATTTTGATGACAAAGATGAGAGGAGGGTCATGAGATTGACATGGAATGTGCTATTGGCTGTGGTGGTTTCGTTTTCAGAACAAAAGTTATACAAGAAAGTAGGATTATCTTGTGCATTTATTGTTGCAAAACAGATGAACCTAACAAAGATATAGAAAAGGAGAATTTTAGAGTAAGCCATGATTATCTTTTGAAGTTTGTCAATGGCAAGTGGAAACAGAATGAAGTTTGTCATTGTAAACAAAGTCTTCTATCATCTCATTTGCGATGTGTCATGGAAACTTCTTAGCAGATGAAAAATGGTCAATATGATTTAAAATAATTGAATACTAAGTATGACATAACAAAATTAAAAAAACAAATAACATCTCATGATGATGTGTCATATACTTAAATAAATCTTATATCTCGGCTATTTAATAAATCGACAAAAAATGTAGTTTAGGTTTGTGTTTTGATTCTCAACTTCTCTATTTTCGTACTTTATTTATGTTGTGAAAACGATGTCGAAATAATAAAATATAATTGATTTTTTGATCAATAAGAAATTCACAAGGGTAAGAAAAAGGAAAGCAAGAATAACACAATGAATTGGTTATAAACTGTTATTTTTTTCTTTCTATTTGAAACAAGATTACAAGTGTTACAGAATAACAAATAACATCTCTCACTCTAATTAAGATTTGCAATATGCAATGATGAAAAACTAGTATGCAATTTATAATAAAACTAACACACTAAACTAATGGATTTTTCACACATACATACCAGTTACAAGTTAACTTAGGAAACAAGCTAACTTAACCAATTGGGCTTAACTAAACAAGCACAATTCAACATGCTAACAAACCTAGCAATATCAATTAATGCATGTTAGAACAACTTCGACTGCAACACACACTATTTCGACAATAGCATGCAAATAAGCATCGACCTCATGCTTAATCTCTATCGAACCAGAAGCTACCTTTCTACCATACTAGAGTTTGATATAACATCCACTACAACAAATAACATTTTTTATGACGAAATTTTCACAACGTACAAAACAAAACCGCGGGTACATGTGAATAGAGCGTATTGTTTTATTTAAAAATATTTAATAAATTTGTTACCTCGAATATTTATAAAACTGACATAAATATATGTCCAGGGTTTGAGGTTTGATTCCCGGCTCCTGCTATTTAATGTTTTATATATAATCAAAAAGGCGTCATTATGTTTTCTAGATTTTACTTCGAATATGTTACCTCTATTGTTTGTAATATCGGGTTAAAAACTCCCTAACTTTTTATTATTTTAGCAACTAAAAAGGCGCATTTTTTATATATTTTACGTCAGCTAATCTACCTCGGTTCTTTAGATTAATCGAGATAAATTTTCTTTATAGTTTTTATTCCCTTAGTGTTCATCTAATACAATTTTTGAGTCCTAACGAAAGAACACTTCTTCTTCAAGGATATTAGCCAACGAAAGAACACTTCTTCTCCAAGGAGCTCCGCGATATGTTCTTGTTGTTCTTGTTTTTTCCGCGGTATTTTGAACGAAGCACATAGTTTTATTGTTGTTGTTGTTGAGAAGCTTTAGTTTTGTACTATTTTTTAATTTAATTTTCAGAAGTTTTATGTGGTTATGGATTGTACTTGGATGAAAGCCAATAGATTAAGTAGCGAGTATGAGAATGGAGTATTACAATTTCTTGGTTTCGCAGAAAAAAATCTTCCTGACAACAATGAGATTTTTATAATATGAAATATTATATTCAATCATTGTGGTTGTCATAAAATTATTCAAAATTACATGAAATGAAGATGACGAATGTATGACTGATAATCTAGAAGACATCATTCGTGATATTGGAGTAGATGCTTTCAAGAAAGCTAATATAGCAGATACTTTGCGAAAAGACCTGGAAGATTCGCTGTACCCGAGATGTAAAGGTTTTTCAATATTGTCAACTGTGTTAAGACTATTTAATCTTAAGACAAGAGGTAGGTGGAGGGATAAAAGTTTCATTGAATTGCATGAAATGTTGAAAAAACTACTTCCTGAAGGTAACACGTTGCCAAACCGTACTTATGAGGCCAAAAGTATATTGTGTTCAACGGGTTTGGACTATGTCAAAATATATGCTTTTTGTGATTATTGCATCTTATATCGGAAAGAGTTTTAAAACTTGAACGAGTGCCCGAGGTGTGGAGTGTCGGGCTACAAGCAGAAGGACAATAATGTTGATGACGATGATGGTTAAACTAGCAAGGTTGTTTCTGTTAAGGTGGTGTGATGCCTATCGATAATTCTAAGGATCAGAATATTGTTTTCTAATGTTAGTGACGCAAAGAATACTATATGGAATGCAGATGAAAGAGTGTGTGATGGAAAAATTTGCCATGTAGCTGATTCATTACAATAGAAGAAAATTGATTCCTTGTTGTTGTACCCCAATTTTTGACCTAAGATCCCATTTGTATTTTTTCATTTTTATACAAAGGTCAAGGTCACTAAATACAGTTTGTTTTCAACCTCTCGCCTTTGAGCATTGATTGTGCAGAAATTGTCAAGTGTTTTGAACATTTTTTGCCTATGTATCACTAACTTCTAATCAAGCAAGAAATGTGTGTTTTTTTTGTTTCTTTGATTTCATGTGTTGACAGGTATCCTTCGAATGCAAGTTTAAGCCTACTTCGATTTGGACAAATTTGCTGCTTGCAAGCCTGCTTTCGATTGGACAAATTTGCGGCTTGCAAGCCTGCTTTCGATTGGACAAATTTGCTGCTTGCAATCCTGCTTTCGATTGGACAAGTTCACTGCCTGCAAGCCTGCTTCGAATCTGGACAAGTTCACTGCCTGCAAACATGTTTCGATTGGGAAATAGTCTCCCTTTGATCCTCATGCTTCGATTGGGCAACATTTCTTCCTTTGATCCACAAGCTTCGATGGGCAATATAGTCTCCCTTCGATCTACAGTCTTCGATTGGGCAACATTGCTTCCTTCGATCCACAAGCTTCGATGGGAAATACAGTCTCCCTTCGATCTACAACCTTCGATTGGGAAACATTGCTTCTTTCGATCAACAGCCTTCGATTGGGCAATACAGCCTCCTTCGATTCACAAGTGGGACCACTGTACTGCCATGCAACAAACACTACTGAGCCTACTGCACAGTCCTGCACCCACCTACCACTAAACTCCAAAATACTGAAAAGCCTGCTACAACAGTCCCGTACTTGCCCAAAAAGGAGTGCACAAGGGCTGCATTGAAGAAAGGATCGAAACAGTATTCCCAAACTGTTCAAATCATTTTTGTTTTCCCCCCAAAACTTCAGCAAATCTGCCTATAAATAAAGAGGTTACAACACATTTTTGAAAGGGAGAAAAAAAAAGGACTCTGGGCCAGACGAATCTCTCCCCAATTTTCTCCAACCCAGAAAAATTCTCAAAGTTCATAAACACTTGAGAAAATAAACAAAAAAATCCCAAACACTTACTTCCTTCGATTCTGAAGAACAACCACTTCAGTCTCCTTCGAATCACAGAAGCATCACGCTTGCTTCTATTTTCCTTCAAGTCCAACGCTCCCAGCACACTTGCTTTTTTCCCTTCCTTCGAATCCAGGATTCCCAGCGCAACTGTTGGCCTCCTCTTTCGAATCCAGCACTCCAGGCAGCCACCACTCAAGGTCTCTCAGCACACGTTCCAGCCTGAAGCCAGGTAAGTCACTCTTACCCTTGAACTTTTCGTTTCATGGAATAACATGTAAATAATACTTTTGTTCGTTTCCAGCATGAACATAACACTTTGAACTTTTCGTTTCATAGCATGTACATACTGCTGTTCCTTTTGATTCCACCCTTTTTAACATATTTTTAGAACTGAGCTCTTTCGTTTTTACTATTAAACTGTTACTAGCATGGCCTCAGGCCATGTTTTTATTTAATGTTTGAAATGAAAGAAACAGGAGACAGGAGTATGAAACGAAGCCCCAGGCTTCCTCACTGACTCCAGGCCCAGTCGAAGGAAGCAGAAAGGAAGATTACATCTTGCACAGATTCCAGCCCTAGTCGAAAGGCACAACATGCTGTCCCACTGGTCTCAATCGAAAGGCACAATACACTGACTTCCAGGCCCAGTCGAAAGATACAACCTGACTGCTGCCAAAGCCCAATCAAAGGACAGGACTTCGCCTCTGCCAAAGTCCCAATTGAAAGACATAACTTCACTGCTGCCAGCCCCAATCGAAGGAGGCCAACAGAATGCCAGTCGAAGTGTGCTCCTGCCTAGGTCGAAATACACTCAGTTTTCTTACTTTTTTTCTTTTCCTTCATATTTTTTATGCTTTTTGATATGTTTGTAATAGCGTAGGTTTCTATCTTTCTGCATTTTATTTGCTTTGTACAAATGTTAGTAATTAGGCAAGATAAAATCAACAAGAAAACAAACACAAAAAAATCAAAAACACTCTTTAATCATTACTTGAACATACTTTAAAACATGCAAAACACTCAACAAATCAAAACTCCTCCCAAGGACATGTTAACTCCGTTCTACCGCGATATCGGCCATTGCCTATTGCTAGAATGCGTGCGATAATGTCGCCCACTAAAAAACACCAAACAAATCAACTTTTTCTAGAGGAACTACAGTGTTTTGATTCCTTCATTGGATACGTTGGCAAAGGGTCGCGAAACCCTCACGAACACAATAATAAAAAACTCATTTTTCCCCTTAAGCAAACATATTTATAGATACATACACCCTTGTACATAACAAATAATTTTAAACCAAAAAAACAGATATTTCAAAAGGTTCCTGCGGAGTACCGCAGATGCATTGGGTGTTAATACCTTCCCATTGCATAACCAACCCCCAGACTTTAGATCTCTTTTCAAAAACGCATTGTATTACTTTTTATCTTACATTGCATGTTTTTTAGGGTTTTATTTCGCTCTTTTCCCTTTTCCCTTGGAAATAATAAAGCGCGGTGGCGACTCTTGCTTTTTGTGAGTCAAGTTAATTAATAGCTTGATCTCCGATTTTCACCGCTACAGAATTGGCGACTCTGTTGGGGAAACAGATTGACCTCTTGCTGGTCCATCCCTAAGTGGGTTAAGCCTAATTTGTCTTATCTATTTTTATTATTATTTGTTTGTTTGTTTGATTATATGTATATATTGTGATTA